ATAAGGGGATTATAGGGACTATAATGGGTTACATATAGGGTTTATAAGGGGATTATCGGGACTATACTGGGTCATTTTAGGGTAATGGAACAGAATTGCAACTCCCCTAAACCCTAAACCCTAAACGCCAAGGTTCATGATCTCGCCTTTCTTCGTAGCACAAATCCGGCTTTGGCCAAACTTGCATGAGCCGGGATCCCAGCCAAAACCCCAAGCCCTAAGCCTAAAACCTCCCGCCGAATGATGATGATGATGATGATGATGATGATGGAGGGTGAAGCCTTAAACCCTGAACCCCAAACCCTTACACCTTAACCCTGAGGATGATAATGATACTGATAAATCAAGGTGGACCCACGCACTCTGTGATAGTGGTATAGTAGGAACATAGGAGGGCCCTATTATGATGACGATTCTCTTTTGTAGTCATTATTACAGGGTGGGGGTGGACATAGGGGTCCTTCTTTGGTAGTTTTGTTACGGTCCCGAGTCTATTCCCTGATAGGAGCCTATGTCCATTAAGTATATGGGAAATACCTTATATGTAGTTTAGGAACGGCCAGGCCAGTGGTATGTAGCTAGACAGGGTAAGCGTGGGTCCTGGTAAGGGTCCTGTGTACCAGGGTTCCGTATGTAATTGTACGCAACTTTGCCTTACCACCCAGAAATCAGAGTTTCGAATTCTAGGTAGGAAAATGCTCAGATCATTAGCACGTTTCAACTTCTATTCCACAGCTATAGTTGTTGTTATAGACAACACGGGTGTTTCGGACTATACCTACCGAGCCGCTCAACCCTAAATCTCTGTATCATCACAGTTTCTGTTTTGGTTCCATTTTCTTTTCCTGTTGATTCTCCAACATGGGGAGTAGTATCCCATCCTTCGACTCTACATAATTCCCGCATTGCCACGCAACCCTAAGCCCTGTACGTTTAAGCCATACCCCCTATGAAACCTGAAGCTTCAATTTGAAGTTGAGCGCCCTAAACCCCAAACCCTAAACCCTGCTGAGAGCTTAAAGCCTGCCATGGAATCAGTGGATCAAGAGCCCCTACCTCGCCACCCCTACTGTTACATATTCCTTAGGAGGAACTCCCACCGTGTAATAGTGGTATAGTAGGAATATAAGAGCACCTTAATACAATCCTCATTATCCCTTATAGTCACCATGACAGGGTGGGGGTCCTCCTAACATATTCCCCAGAAGAGACCCCGTATAGTGAGTGACACATTCAGTATTCGGGGTGGAGGTAGGTGTGTGTTTGTGTTTCATATTCGTACCAAGGGATCCAACACCTTCCAGTAGACTATTATTAGGGTTTAGGGTTTAGGGTTTAGGGCCATAGCTTTTGACATGTTTGGCCTTCTTGCAGAAAGGTCCAACAATCTAAGGGTCGACGTACGGGCCCCTAATACTGACCCTTCGTGTTAGGGGGATTCTAGGATATAGGGTATATGGTAGGTATATAAAGATCCCAAGGCATACTAGGGGCCCATGGTTTCAACCTTCGAAAAACGGTATTGTTCAGTAGGAACATACAAACCCGAGACCTTATATTCCCGCTATATACCCTAACCCCTAACCCTAAACCCTAAACCCTATTCCTACTATAGCCTTGGGGTTCCCTGTTTTGGGATTCCTATTTCCGTCCTTTATTCAAGCCCTCCTCGCCAAGGATGGGTAGCAACCTCGCAGAGAACATCTCCAACTGGCAGGCGCACAAGAAAGATAGTGCTGGTACCCTCCCGCACGAGCATGCAACCTCAAAATAGCTGATTTTCAAATTACATTAGTATTTCTTGAGGCTTGCTGGGCGTTCCATCTTAGCTCGGGGAGGGTACATTTGTAAGCCTCAAAGCTCAGCAAGAGCAGTGCGCTGTCTGGGCTCATGCAATGCTTGGTTCAGGGTTCAGGG